TTAGTTGAATAAATAAACAAACAACCTAATACTGCTCAGAACCAGAAAAAAATGCAGATACTCAGAAAAATAGAAGCAGAGCCTATTTTTTAGTTTCCATCGTCCGTTCCTGCTTTTTCTCCACCCTCCACAACTGACCAGATAACCCTAACTAGATAGGGACCAAAACCACTAAACTATGTTATAGCTCCCCTTCCCATGAGGACAGGCGATGAATCCCCGCTACAGCTCTGCTGCCCAGCATAAAGCTCGACTTCTTTCTGAAAACCTTCCCAGATTAATCCCAAATGGCTTTTTTTTGTCACTTCAGTAATCTCATTAAAATATCTAGATAGGTAGGCTTGATGTTATACACTTTGGGAAGGTCATGTCATTCAACAAAACAGAGAGACAACAAAGAGAGGACAATGCTATCTCAGGTATACAGAATTCAAGAAACACTTTAGAACCAAAATAATTTCTCCGAGAACCCTTTCAAAAGAGAAGCTATAGCTCCAACCATAATCAGCTAAACTTTTGTCAAAGGAAGGAAAGGGCCAATATAGAGTGACTGCCAGACAGATAAGAAGGTTAACACGCATGACAGTGTAGTGTTAGATACTGTCTGCAGGGCTTTAGTTTATACTTTTTCTGTACTGTTAAAATTCTCTGCATTTATCTCAGATACAAGTATTCAAAGTGCAATAACGGATAAGGTTTTTTATTGGATGGAAAATGGGGACAAACTATAAAGAGGCTTTTAAAATCCATCCCCAAAATTCAAAAAACTGCCCTCCAGGAAATGCCTCTCCCAGAAATTATACACACATCCACTTGATAGACGATATATGGTAATATTCTTAATATATATTCTTAACCACCAACCTAAATCCTCCCTCCACCTCCCATTCAACACACTTTAAGATGGAGATGGTTAAGGAAGCTGCCAACAACTCTTTTTTATATTTTCCCTATAGCCTCATTCCCCTTTCTTTAAAGTACAACAACAAAGTGATTTAGATCAAAAGAACACAAGAGTTTTGTTCCCACAAAAGTCAGTTTATTAAAGATAGGCTTGCAAATTCAATACAACCAAAAATGCAATATTTTAAATGTTACATGGGGGTAAAGAGTTTTTGAAAATGCTTCCTTCTTTGAGCCATATATACTACAGAGCTCTGAAAAAGTATTTTCTTATAAGCTTGCCCAGCATGCTGACACCTTCTTATATTTATAAAATATGAACTGCATCAAAACTGCTGTAATATGGAATAGCTTTAGTCTCATGTCTAAAAGAAAACTGAAGATGTCACAACTGATCCTCTCCTCGTCTGAACTGTTTTGGCTACAGCAATTTGAAAACTAATTATCTTAAATCTGAGAGAATCCAACACCTCTCATTGTTCACTGAAATCTTTTGCCAGAACAAATAGTTTTAAAAATATCTTTCTACAACAGCCAGTGAAGCTGCACTAAATACCTTACTAAATTAAATGCCTCATACTTGAAATAAAGGCATGAGAAAGAACTGATTTAAAGAAATGGATTCCTTTGATGCTTTTTCTACAGACAATAGTAAGAGCTTTTATAGTTATTCTTTGGAGTTAAAATATTCAGTTTGGGTTTCTCTACTTTTCTAGTGGGGGCACATGAATTTTCACCACCCCCTCTTAATTAGAATGAATTTGCATTTCTGTACACACAAGTGGCAAAAGTATGCACTTAATGGGGTCGATAAAACTAACCTGTGATTTAAATTTTTTTTAAAAAGGAGAAAATAAAGAAAAAAAAAGCTAATTCGCAAAGTGGATAATCAAGGGTTGATCTACTAAAGTCAAGTAGAATCAGAAATCCCCTGAATCAAAGAAATATAAGAAATGTTTTCATATTAATAAAAACATGACTTTTTATGTGCCAGGCATTGTTCTAACTACTTTATTTGCAGACATTTACTTTACAGAACAGGAAATTGAGGCACAGAGAGGTTAAGCAACTTGCCAAAGGGCACAGAGCTAAGGAAGCTGTGAGGCCCAGGGTTCAAATGCAGGCAGGCAGACTCCATCCAGTCAGCTCTGCTAAGGGCTGTTCTATCTCCCAATAGCAGGTCAAGAGCTCTCATTTATAGATGGATCTAGAGAAGGGAAATTAGTGGTTTAACTCAAAAACCCCAGACTCTAGATCCAAATCCTTTTCCAAAACAAAACTAAACTAACAAAGAAAAACACATCAGCTGTCTTACAAACAGAATGAAAAATAGTGATCATTCTGAGCCAACCTCATGCGTGGAAAGGCATGGTATTTCCATTTTCTATCACTAGTGCACAGATTAACACGCTGGTTACAGCAACTGATAATCTCATCCTTTTTATAACTCCGCTCAATGAAACAAGTCAAGTCAAAACAGACCACCAAAAAGAACCCCTCAAAAAAACAAACAGAAAAACCCACACATACACACTAAGCAGGTTTTGAGGTTTATTAAAATAAAGTATTAGCAAACAATATGCAAAAACAAAGTTCTTAAGAGTTATGGCTTTGAATAGCACAATATAGTAAAACCTAATACATTTTATAAGTATCAAAAAGATAACAGAATTGAAGCATGTTGCTAGAATTTCACTTTCTACAACATAAACAAGCAGAACAAGTACAAATAAGAAGCAGACCTATAGTGCAGCCATTGGTTTGGTCTTTTTCATCTGCATATGAAGTATCTTTTTAAGAGAACGTGGGCAGGTACATGTAGTTTTCATGATTACAATCTCATCCAATTTTAAAATACGTGATTTTCAAAATGCAAACCTTAACCACAGGTTAAGAAGAAAACCACTTGCCCAACTATTATCTTCAAGAGTCCCTCCAGTTAAAATACTTTATGAATAAATCAAAGCAACATCACCTGTAATGGTATTCGAAGGGAAAATCTGACTCTAAAAGATTTCTTCTTTTACAAAGAATTTGGGCTTGTTCAGCCTCACTGGAGCTTGGTTATAGCTAACACCAGCTAGTGTTAAGAAGGCACTACCTAATAATGAGAGGGGAAATCTACCTGTACACAAAAGTCTGAACATCTTAAAAACAGCATCTTCAAAGAAAATCTTAAATGACAATGGTATGGTGATTTTAAGAATTTTTAGAACAGAAATATTTAGACAAGAACCATGCAAACCTTTTTCACGATCCATGAATGACAGAAGAATCCTGCTCTGCCTGGGTCTTTTCAACAAAACAACTCATCACTGTCTTATAGCAATTACTACTAGCAAATGGAACAGCATAAGCTCTTACTTTAAAAAAATATGTTATGTAAAATCTCTCACACTGGTTTTGTAAACCATCCAATTTTAGAGTGACACTTCAATTACAACACAGTTGTATTTGGGAAGACAAGTTTCTCTTAAGAATAGTCCGATATAACAAAGGCTTGATAAACACTGTTACCTCTTGTAGTCAGGACATGCTGAACTACAATCCAGTGAATTCCAAAGAACTGTCCGGTTTCTGTGGAGCAGGAAGGATTGTTTATGCAGAAGAGACGCCTTGAACTCTCACTTTCCATACATGCATCTTCTGTGAAGAGAAATCCTCTCCAGAAACCCACCTGTAGCAGTGAGGAGAATGCTGCTGTTCTGGAAAAACAGGCATCAAACCTGAGGTTACCTCCAAAAAGCTGCCCTAGTTAATAGTATCTGAGACCATCCATAAACCAACGCTTAGAAAAACTCGCTCCCATAAACATTACCAAACACTTCTAAAGCCACCAGGCTATCTACTACCTTAAAGGATCCGTGCTTGTGTAGCTGATGGGTATAAGGAGGAAACATATTCCTCCAGGAGAGATTAAATGAGGATTTGACTAAGAAGACAAAGAAGGGCTCTGACCCTCTTAAAAGTTAACAGGTCCAAAATTAAAGTCATCAATGGAAGTTGAATTCCATAATTCTCAAGAGTCTTCCTTCTTCAGGAAGCACCAAAGATATTAATATTTTTAAGTGAGCAAGTGATAATGATCCAAAGTAATATTAAGCAAATAGAAAAAGTATAAAGAAATGGATCTAAACTTGTATATTAGATGTTCTCTACAGTAAAAGCACAGCACTATCAGATTAGGGTGTCTCTGCTATTAGTAGGATTTCACTTTTTGTATAAATTTTCTCCTTCAACAGAATACCATTACAGGGGAACTGTTTCCCACAGGTAACTCTCAGGTAACACCGAAGGTTTTTATAATGTGAGCCCCCGTTTTTATCTTGACAATACATTTCGGATCTGAATACATACTGATCATTTTACATCCTAAAAGGATGTCTTACTCTCAAATGTTTGAAAAGTATAAAATGGCTACATCCTCTTGCTGTACTATTAGGAATAGCTTATTGAGCTATCCAGTAATCTTACAGTGGGTTTCACCTCAAAACCCCAGCCAATTCTATTATCAATTTTCTTATATAACAATAAAATGTGAAAAATGATTTATATTCTGATGTGTGTGTGTGTGTGTATATATATATATATATATATATATATATATATATATATATATATATATATAAACTTTTGATTGATGTCTTCCTTAAATTTTCTCTGAAGAAAAAATGTTAGCTTCAATAGCTCAATAACATGCCCGCTAGTTTACATTCCCCAACTGAAGCAGGCCATACCAACCAGACCATAATACCAACCAGAACATCTACTATGCAGAGAAGTTAGTCAAATGTCCCTCTTAAATTGTTTTTTTCCCAACCAACATCTTTTTGTTGCTTTATTTCATTACTGAGATAAATTTTGATTTTATTCTTTTTTCCATTTACCAAATTGGATGTAGTTTTTTTTTCAGACTGTCTTTTCAGCTGGCATATATTAAAATGTTGTACGTGCTAAAAATGTGATTATTTTAATGGTGTTGATGTTTTATACACCATTCTGGAGATTAAATACTTAAAACTGATATTTTCTGTAACAGTTTCTTTCAGAGGTACTTTCTTTCCACTGGTCACAATTTTAATTATTTAAAAAAAAAATCTTACTGGCAATTTTTATTTTCCATCCATAGATTTTGGGCATCCTCAGAAATCATAGAAGCAGCTAAATTGTTTTCATTTAGAACCCAAGGGTGTGGCGTTTACAACTTTTAGGAAATGCAACAGGCTTATACTTCATGAAACGCTTAACAGTTAACAGCTTCAGCACCATCACTCGTGAGACTCAATTCCACAGAGAAAACACAGAAAAGGCCAATCACTTAAAATCTTGCTTATAACATTAAAGTTATAAGTGACATGAATAAAAATAAATTTTAATTAAATCAATTGAGAGCATCAATAAAACAATTCAATAGTTTCCACCAGTTCAAGCCCACTGAAGTTGATTACATGTATCTGTCATTCAAGCTGGGTAGTTTTTTTCCCACAAATTCATTCCAAAGATTGTGCCATGAGCCCGGTGAGTAAAAGAAAGATGTAAATAAAAACTGTTCTATCACTAAGCAAATAACGTCCTCTTTCACGTGGCTGATACAGCTCTGGAAGATTGAGAATGCATATCAAGTACAACATGTGTAAGGCTCAGGTGACTGTCAGAAAGTATTCTTTTACCCAGCAAAGGGCTGTGTGCTGAAACACTCACGGCACTTCATCTGAAAGAACTCAAACCATCCATTGGCTGCACTTTGTAAAAGCAATAAATAATGTCACAGAAAACAAAAGGAATCGCATTCTCCTTTTATCAAAATATGCATTTTCTTCCTCATAAAAGCAGAAAGGGCAAGGTAGAAAGTCAAACCAAACTAACATTTTAAACAGAAGACTAACATGGCTCCATATACTTACAAAAGGCACCAGAAGATTCTTCAGATAAGTAAATCAGATCATTTTTTTGAAAATAATGTCTTTGTTCTCATGCCATAACTAAGAGTCCATCTGACTGCCCCCTAGAAAAAGGATTGAGCCCTCTACCCAAAGCTTTTAAGCATGATTGGTTTAAATCGATATTTTAGAGTTTGCACGTCTTTTCTCTCTGAGGGCTGTATTCTGGGAGACCAGCATTCACAGAGGTGCTTAAAGATGGAAGAAGACAGAGCAATGGTAACTGAGAGAACAGGTGGCATTCTCTGCTATGTGAATGTTTTAAGATCAGCTATCTCAGCAACCACGGCTGATTCTTTTAAGTAACAGACCAGTGGCCTCATCCTTGGGGCCAGGCTGAGGAGGCCCTTATGGCTACGGTACACAGGGCCTTGCGTGGAGAGACTGAGGCAAATAAGAGCACTGGGATGAAGTGCACAGTTTTCCAACATGAATAACATCCATAAAACTGGAATTAAAAAGGCACCTTAAGTTGGAGCTAGAGAATAACAGTCTTATAAACTACACTGAAAATACAACAAAAGCTAGAAAAAAGCGTAACTTCCTACAACTGTAATCTATAAATTGCAGTGTTTGTTAATACAAAAGGGGTACCAAAGAAGTAAGAATGAGCATTTAAGTCGAAGTCACTTGAGTGTGTTTCACAAAAGGTTACATTAAAAACTGTCACCCATCAAAGTGCAAAATAAAAGATTAATGCATGTCAAAATTAGAGTTCTCGCAACACTGGCCAAAAGCAGCAAACGTGGCTGAACATGGCCGTGCATGCACTGTCACTAGCTATAAAGTAGTACTTATGACAGATTCTGAGTAAATGACATATACTAGAGATCCATTGTTGGCAATATTTTTTTTTAAAAAAGGAAATGTTTTACAAAAGATATATTGAGTGAAGTCACAATACAATGACACACACTTAGCTGTAGTAAATGTAAATTTTATGACATCTAGAAAACTATCGCTTTGTTTTTACTGAACACTACTTGTTAGAGCAGTGCATAGTGTTCCTTCAAATAGAAGTGTTTTTTTTATAGTTTCTTTTAAGCCCCTACTACATGCTTTGACAGAACAATGAATTATACTTTTTTTAAAGTTGGTAGGACAAAGAAACTGATAAAAGTACAGCTTCTGGCGGATCAAAAGTCAAAGGGAAGACTTTTCACTGTATACCCTCTTATACTATTACAATTTTTCATCATGTGATGCATTACTCTTTCAAAAAAAATTTAACGTAAAAAAAAAATCGTTGAGACAATAAGGCAAAAGTATGTTCCAGTTTAAGGTTAATGCCAAACTTCTGAACTGGAGCATAATTACTCTGCATCTTTCACAACACTTTTGAGATTAACTTTTGAGAGTTAATCACATGAACATTAATACAAACAAATGTAGATTCATCACAAAATACAAATGTATTGGTCACAATTATGTAGAAAAAAATAAGCTGTTTTCCATGTAAGCTCACAGTATCTGTACTGAAAGTTTCCCTAAAATTAAAACAAGTCCACTAATAATCTAGTTGAAAAGAATATTTCTGAACTATGAAACAGAAGATATGGGGTTCAGAGGGGAGCCCATCTGAGTGAGGACTTTATCCAGCCACTGAAGAGGCCCGTGAAGATGAATCTCAATCCAACACGGCGTGCTGGTAACATCCTGCCGGTGATATTCCGCTCCCCAGCCCTGTGAAAATGAACGCAAATCCCTTTTTAAATGGTCAACCAGTGGAAACCAATTTTAACATACTAACAAAAAGATACTTTAACAGTAGACATACACAGAATGTACTTTAAAAAAGAAAAAAAAATCACAAAACCAATCTTAGCATTCACCATGAAGTTAACAACAACACAATAGCTGCATTACTGAAAGACATATGAATTTGTTTAATAACATATAATTCCCTTAATAGAAATGCCTGGAGCAAGATATGTTTCAGATTTTTGTTTTTAATTTTATAAAGCTAATACAGTGCAGTATCTCATAATTTAAAAATTAATACATTCTCACTTAATGGGATAAATAAAACCTATAAATCGCCTCACATTAAGTTCACATCAGATTTTATTCCCAAAAATGTTTTTCAGGTTTTAGGGTTTTTTTAAATACCAGGTAAGGCACTGCAGATCTGATCAATGCAAGCAACTGTACTTAAAGTGGCGATCACATCAATTATCCTTTAAGATAGGAAATTACTGGATGGATTGAGCTGGAACACTTTAGCCTAAAACTCCAGACAAAGATGAAAATGTTTTCACTTTTATTTGCCTGGATTTATCAAACTCTCTGCTTTACTGCTTATAGTAGTCCTGGCCCAGGAAAATTAGCGTGGGGGTGGGGGTGGGGGTAGGACAGAAAAGATTAAGTATGCAAAAGTCACGTTTCTATAGAAGGGGGAATGCCTTCGAGGCTACTGACAAGCTGATGTATATAACAGACCTACCTATAAAGCAAAGCAGCAAGAAAGCCCTGGACTGTGGGACTGAATGTCAATAAGAAGAAACACACAAACAGCATTTAACAGTTGCTCTTCTTTGACTAAATCCATAAGGACCAAGTGGATATAGTACAGGTTACCTAAATATACACTAAAATTCCTTCCAAATTTCGCTCATGAACCATATCTTTAGAATGTCAATAAAATCTGACCAAGAGTAAATGCTAAATTTGAAAAGTTCTTTAAACTTTGTAAATCCTTAATAACAGAACTTAGATAAAAGGAAAATAATTTAAGTATCCTAAAGAATTCTTTAAGTCACTCTAATGGGATCTAATAATAATTGAAACCTCTAAAGCTAGGGAATTTTAAAAGAAATTTTAATATTAAATGCTTTCTAGCAATTTAGTCTTTAGCTGAAATTCTTTATAAACTCAGCCCCTACTCAATATTAAAATTAATATCAATATCAGTATCATGTATTTTATGTCTCAATTATAAAATAAAATCTTAAACCTATCATGTGGTTAAAGTAATAAATTCAAGAATTTCATTTAAAAACCTATCAGATCAAAAGTAATTACTATCTTTTATTTACCAAAGATTTTTTTATTATAGTCTACAGACGTGTGTGTATGTGTGTGTGTGTGTGTGTGTGTGTGTGTGTGTGTGTGTGTGTGTGTGTGTGT